GTGTGATGTCCCTGTCCCTGTGTGATGTCCCTGTGTGATGTCCCTGTGTGATGTCCATGTCCCTGTGTGATGTTCATGTCCCTATGTGATGTCCCTGTGTGATGTCCCTGTCCCAGATCCAGCTCCTGGAGAATTCCCTGCTGGACGGGCACAACCGCACCCTGCGCAATGACTACCGGCACGTGCAGCCGCTGCAGGGCCGTGTGGTGGAGGCCTCCTTCCGAGCCCAGGGTAAGGCCCAGGGGCCCCTGCACACCTGGGGGGGACAGACACCCCAGGGGAGGTGTGAAACTGTGAATCCCTTCGGTGGGATGGGCTGGAATGGCCAGAGCAGCAGTGTCCCTGCTCAGCTGGGGTCCCCTTGTTTAAGGTGTGTGCCAGCCCTGCCCTTTGAGTGCCACACCTCCAGGACAGCTGGCACCACGTCAGGACCCTCACTCAGGGGTGTCTGGTGTGTGGGAACAGCTCTGGCTGCGCAGCCAGGCTCCACACAGAGGAGAGGAGCTGCATTTTGCAACACAGCTTTTGCTCAAACTAGAAAATGTGGCTCGTGTAGGTCCCAGCCTTCTGTAAATTCAGCTGTCTGCTTGCTCCAGCACAGTGTCATCCAGAGGAATTCACCCTCAGGCTGGATCAAATCCAGGTGCAGCTCCAGGACATGAGGACAGAGCTGCTGAATGGACTGAGCCACACAGGTAAGAAACACAGGCTGGGTCCAGCTCACCTTGTGAGGATGAAGAGCCCATGCCCTGCTGACCTTGGTGGCCCAAACCACTGACAGGTTTGGTGTTGACACACACAGAATTTGGTCCCATATCTGGGACCATATTCTGCTGCAGCTGCAGCTCTCCTGCCACATGGGAGCACATTTTTACAGTCAAAAATTTCAGCTCAATTCCCACAGGATAAATAATCATCACCTCTATTTTATACAATGTGAGAAAAGAGGAGGAAGGAGGGAAAAACAAGGTTTTCCCAAACATTTGGGTGGGGGAGCTAAGCTCAGCTTTTCATCATTTCAAACCCCTTCTCTGCTGGCACAACACACAGCAGTAACTGCAAACTGACTGCACAGCCCTACCAGTTCTGTGGCTGTTCTTCTCCAGAATTTGGGCTGATTTACAGGAAATGGAACTGCTGGCTTTTTTGGTTATTTCAGGTACGAAATCCAGCACCTTTCCAGCTTTCTACTTCCCCGTGGAAAACATTGAGAGCTTTGTGGAGGTTCATCCCCTCCGTGCTGTGTCTCTGCAAGCCTTCACCCTGTGTTTCTGGAGCAGAGCCCAGCCCGTGGGCTGCCAGACCATCCTGTCCTACTGCACTGGGGACAGTGACCACGAGCTGGTGGTGACGGTGGGCACGGAGCTGGGGCTGTGGCTGGGGGGGCAGTTCCTCAGTTTCCCCCTGCAGCAGGAGGCACAGGGCTGGCTGCACCACTGCGTGGCCTGGGCCTCCCGGGAGGGAACGGCCACGCCGTGGCTCAACGGAGCAGCTGGCAAAGCAAAGAGGCTCCAGAAGGGCTACGTGAGCCGGGCTGGGGGGACTCTGGTCCTCGGCAAGGACAGGGACACTCTGCTTGGGACGTTCTCCAATGGCTTTGCGGGGTGGATGGCCCAGGTGAACCTGTGGAGCCGAGTCCTCAACGCCACGGAGGTTCGAGCGCTGGCGCTGTGCAAAGAGGGGCAGCCCAAGGGGGACGTCATTGCCTGGGGACAAACCCCCATGGCCCTGCTGGGGGGGGTGATCCTGCAGCCTGACACCAGCTGCCAGTGAGCACAGCCTCTGCTCCTCTCAGGGCATCCAGAGAATCCAAGCTGCCTGTTGGGAAAACTGAGATTGAGTGCTTGTTTCTCCTCCTGTATGGGCTCACTGTGCATCTCCTGGTGCCCCACGGGGGTTTTCCAAGAGACCAAAACCTCCATCAGTGAGATGAAAGCAATGAACTGCAGAACCTGGCACAGTCCAGCACCCTGGGTTGTTACATCCCTCCCAGGGTGCTGATTTAGATCCCCATACACAGATGTTTTTTCGTGCCAAAGAGCTGCTCTCTGGTCAAAGGAGCTGCTTCCTCAAATAAAATTCCTCTCCCATCCCTCACCCAGTCTCAGTTTCTCACCATCTTCCCTGCTTGTCCCTCCTGTTTGTCACCAGCAGCTCACCACCCCTTCCCTTGCAGCTGGGTCCCGTGGGAGAGCAGATGTGAAGTCCTGGCAGGGCAGCTCTTAGGACAAGTCCTGTGCAATCCCTGTGCCTTGGCACAACTCTGCCTTTCTGTGGTGCATGTAGAGACAGAGCACAGAAACATCTCCTTTTTCAACACTAATACATCACAAACTCGAGTGCAGGTATATGTGTATATAAACTAATGTTCTAAGGTTAATGTAAATCCTGTGAAGGATTCTCCATCTACAACACAAAATCCATGCCAAGCTGTTCAACAATTCTGCTTTTTTCAGAACAGAGGGCAGCACACTGATACACCAGATTGAATTTAATTTCTCCCTGCTGGACCCTCAAGCACACAAGTTCCTCAGAGGAGTTCAGTGCACTCCTTGCTCACGAGTGCCCCACACCCAGCCCAGGGCTGGCTCGTGTCCCCAGGCGTGTCACCAGGACACCAGGGACACTTCACCTCGTGCCATCAGCTACTTGGTCACAGAACTGAGCTGGCCCAGGACTTGTCTTGGAACAAGAGGAGGACTTGGCAGCATGAGGTTTGCTGCTGGATTTGATCTTAAATGTCTTTTCCAGCTGTAACAGCTCCATGATTGTCAGATCAGCATCAAAGGAGGAATCCCTGTATTTGTTTTCCTGCTGAACAGATCTTGTCAGGCCAAACACAGCTGGGTCACATCTCACAGCTGGAGAGCACTTTCTTCTCTTCCTGCTTCTGCAGGGGGTAGGAATCTGTAAGCTCTTTGCTTTCCTGAATCTCTACTTTGTTCCTCTTGGCCATGATCCTGTTGATTTCCATGAAGGTTTTATTCTTGGTCTCAGGAACGATGAAGAAGATATAAAGCACGGTGGTGACGCAGATGGCACAGAAGATGAGGAAGCTGTAGGGCCCCAGCCCAGCCTGGGGCAGTGACAGGAGGGAGCAGGGGTCAGGACAACATTCCAGGTGGGATTTACCTGCTCTGGACCTGCTGCACCTTGCACTGGCCATGGAAGAAGCAGCCTCAGTGAGGTGCACACATTTTAAGCTGAACCACTCAAAGCTGGGGTGGTTTTAGATTCTGTCTTCTCAAACTACCAGATCTACTAGAAACTTACTGGGAAACTGAACTCAGCAGCTGCCTTTGCACAGGTTAAAGGCAGGGGCTGCAGCAGTTTATGGTCACTGCTGCTGGGAGCAGTTTGAACAGGGCACCCACATTTCAGAAGCTCAAATTGTCCCCCCCAGGCACATCCTGCAGTGGAGGATGGGGAATTTGCCATATTTTCCAAGCTCCTGAGCTCAGGATGAGTCCTGGCAATCAAACTGCTTTCTTTCAAAGCCTGTGCAGCAGGCAGGTGTGATGGGAAAGTGCTGAGGAGCATCAGGCTCTAGCCCTTAACACAATCCCACACACAGGTTTTGAGAGCCAGCAAGTGCATTCACAGCTCCTCAAAGCCTGTCTGTAAGAGCAGGGTGAGGAGCTGATTTCCAGCCCAAGCCTTGCCCTGTGCTGGGGTTCTCACCTCCATGTAGAGGAACACCAGCCCCACGGTGAAGTTGCTCAGCCAGTGCACAGAGCCCCCCACCATGAACGCCGCGGGTCGGGACGACTGCAGGAACATCTCCGTGATCATCACAGCGGGAATGGGACCTGCAGGGCAGCCACAGGTGAGGAAATCCCAAAGGCAACCCCCTCACTCTGAATTCCAGTTACACTGCTCATTTCAGTCCAGACAGTGCTTTCTGACTATCAGCGTTCAGAAGCACCCAGTAAATCAAACAAGGATTCAATTTAAAGATAAAAACCGGGGCAGTTGCACAGGGCATGGCCACACAGAGGTGAAATCCAACCTCCCTGGAGGAGCCCCACAAAGGTTTTGGTTGGAAACTGAGCACGACACCTGGCTTTACCCAGCTTGTGGGGGAGAGTGGGCGGGCTGTGGGCACTCACTGGGTCCGATGGCGTGTCCAATGATGTAGGCAATGACACAGACTATGCTGAGGTAGGACATCCAGGAGACAGTGGTCTGTGAGGATTGGATCACAGGTTAGATGTGGTTCCTGTCTGAACATCCCCAGCACACTGAAGGCACTGTTCACAGTAAGATCTGGAGGCATTTAAAGGCTGTGTCACCCTTCAGTGCCAGACATGTCCATAATTAGACACAGAAACCCCAGCCTGGGTATGATCCTTGCTGGGGGATGCAGCCGGAGCTGTGAACATGCAGTGACATCCTGGGAGGAGCATCCAGGCAAGCAGGATCACAGCTTTTCCTGGCTTTCTTTAAGGTAGATATGCAAGTACAGAGACCTTTCATGCTGTCCCTTCCTCCCCAGGGTGTAGAAGCATCCTCAAAATATTCCAGTGGCCTGTTCCCTGTAAAGTCCAGAATCATGGGTGGGACCACCCGAGCCGTTCCCACGTACCTGGAGGTTGAGGGCCAGAGTTAAGATTGCACAGGAGGCAGAGCACAGCACAAAGCCAGCCAGGAGAAGGATCCTCCTCCCCAGGGATTCCACAATGAAAACCTGGGAGAGACAGGAGAGGGGACAGGGGGAGGCACCAGGGGCTCAGCAATTGCTGCAGATGTTTTTGTCCAAGGGACACCACATGCCATCTGTCATAGGAAGCATCTCCCAGTGCAAATAAGGCTCTAGGGGAAGGTTCTTGGGGCGAGATGATCTTTAAGGTCCCTTCCAACCCAAACCATTCTGTGCCTGTAGGATTCCATGAGCACAACCTCATTTCAACAGGAGGAGGCAAGTCAGAACTGAGAGCCCCAGCACAAACTTACAGCAAGCAAAGTCATGACGACGTTGATGGCACCTATGGACACGGTGACGTACTGGATGCTGCTGCTGGGCACTCCTGCTGACTCGAAGATCCTGTCTGCGTAGTAGAACACCTGCAGCAGAACCACAGCTGTGTTCAGAGGCAGAACATGGGAGTCAATCCCCCTTTTGAAATCCTGGCACTGGTGCACACACAGGCCTGAGGTCGCAATTTGTCCTCTTCTGGTGTTTGGATCTGTGCACAAGCACTTTGAAAAGATTCCAGTTACTGACAGGGCAGCTGACCCTGTACCTCGTCCATGGATTTGCTGCCGGTGAGGGCTGGCCCACCCCAGGGTGACACTGGCTGTGTCCTGGGCAAAGGGGCACCCCTGGCTTTCTCTCCTGTGCCAGCGCTGCCCCCATCACCCCCTCTGAAGTTCCAGCCCTCGTTTGTACCCCCGGCCTGCCCCACTCACAGCATTGACCCCCGAGAGCTGCTGGCCTGCCATCATGACGATGATGGAGATGAGCTGCCACCTCAGGCCCCTGAAGGTGAACAGGCTGAGCACAGAGAACTGCCCTTCCTCCTTCTCTGACTGGTCCTCCTGGTACATCTCCTGTATCTCATCATCCACGTCCTCCCGGCCCCTGAGCCTCTGCAGAGCTGGTGGGGAGCACAGGGAGCTGTGAGCCCAGGGGAGTTGAGTTGTGAGCTCAGGGGAGTTGTTGTGAGCCCCAGGGGAGTTGTGAGCTCAGGGGAGTTGTGAGCCCCAGGGGAGTTGTGAGCCCCAGGGGAGTTGTTGTGAGCCCCAGGGGAGTTGAGAGCCCAGGGGATTTGAGAGCCCCGGGTTTACAGAGAGCTGTCCTGCTTCAGAACAAGGCACAGCAGGCTGTGACCCTGGGCAGTGGTGCTGGGCTCTGGGGATCCCCACATGAGCAGCATTCCGAGAATTCCCCCCACCAGCAGCACATCAGTGCAGAATTCCCCCCTCATGCCGTGTCCCACAGCCAGGTCCATCCCAGCCCCCCTCCCCTGCCATGGCAGGATGGGGCCGTACCTCTCCGGGCCTGCTTTTCGTTGCCCTTTTGGATGAGCAGGTACCTGGGGCTCTCGGGGAAGAAGGGCAGTGTCAGGAGCTGGAGCAGGGATGGGATCCCAGTGAGCCCCAGCAGCACAGGCCACCCTGCAGCAAGGCAAGATGTGAGCTGAGAGAAATCCTCCCCCTGTGGAGCCCACGGAGAGGGCCTGAGCCAGAGCTTTACCTTCAGCATTCCCAAGGATGCTGTTGAGACCGAGGATCTGAGCTGCAAGGATGCCAATGGTGATGAAGAGCTGTGGGACCACCCCAATAGCTCCTCTCAGGTTTTTGGGGGCCATTTCTCCAAGGAACATGGGAACCACATTGGAAGCCAGGCCTAGAAGTTAAGAGAATGGTGTTGGACATGCAGCTCAAGCTGCAGCAAGCTGCTGATTCCCCATGGGGAGCAAAAGAGATTCCTGATAAACCACAGGATGTGCAGAAACTTCACCCTCAAACCCTTCTGCTTTGAGTGTCTGGATTATCAGCTGCTGGGCAACAAAGCCTTTTTGGAGTCTGACAGGATTAGCAGGAGCCTCCTTGCCTACAGAGCCAGCAGATGAATGATTTGGGGGTGTCTTGGTTTGAGTGCTCAGTGTTCATCCTCCTAAAAGCAGCTTTCTCCCAGCAGGCTCTGCCAGGAACAGCACAAGACACTCAAAAATCCTGCTGCTTCAGGCTTGGAAACAAACTCCAAAGATGAGAGAGGAACTTTTTCTTCCTCTAAAACGAGAAGAGAAATCAGTCTCCAGACACACTGATGTGAAAGTGGAAGGAAGTGACTCTGTGTTAGCTTTTAAAAATTCCCTGCTCAGTAAGGCTGTGCTGAGAGCTTTGCTGGGCTGGGATGTGTTGCAGGTGCCTTGCTGGAATAGGTATTTATGCTCTAATAAGGACACCAGGGACACAGGTTATTTTTAGGAACATTCTAGGGCTGCCCACAGTGACCCCAGCGAGCTGCCAGCTCCTGTGCTTACGCTGCAAATTCTGGCAGCTCCAAACTCCTGGAGTCAAATGACCACAGGCGACTCTGACATTTCTAGAGGCCCTGGGCTTCAGGAGCCCGGTGTTACAAAGGTGATCAGGCTGATATTTGAAAGCTAAAAGGCCTAAAAGCTACAGAAACAAATTCCACCAGTGCCAGAGGGTGACACTGGGATCCTCCCAGATCCTCTCCAGGCACAACGCCCACAGTTGAGGCCAGGTCAGCCTGAGAAGGACAAGCCAGGGCAGCCAGGCTGGATTTGGTTTTTGATTATAAATAACTGGAAAGAGGGATCACATTTAACAAGACCCTTAGCATTTATTCCAAGCTCCAGTGCTGAGAGCAGCTGCCAGGCTGAAGGGAATCAAAAGCCAAAATAAAACCATTGGACTAAAAAAAAAAAACA